GTTAAAATATATTAAATTATCCTGAGATTATAGACAAAAATGTAATTTTTAAAATTTTAAACATTTTAAATGATATAGCTAGACAATGTAGTGTATGATATGTTTTAGAAAAACTATTAGTAGACAAAGGCTTAAATAAGTTATAAATTAATCAGGAAGTTGAAATTACCACTGTCCTAAATAAAAGTAGACTTTCTTTTTTTAGAAGAGAGTAGAGAAACATGGGAGAACTTTATATAATACTTTACTATTAATCTCTTGTTTTAAGAATGTATTTATTATATTGTAAAACAGCACTATAATTTCTCAGGGCAATACAACTTAAAAAAAAAACCAAAACCCACAGGTGAACCTGCAATAATTCAATGTCCACACTATGGTTAGGAAAAAGGAAAAGATACTGCCTTTTGTCCTAACACTACTATATTTCTCCACCCTGCTCTTCATACCTGTTAAATTGGCCTTCTTTCTGTCCCTCTAAACTTCTTCCTGCTTCAAGGCCTTTACACTGGTTATTCTCTCTACCTGAAACACTGTTCTTCGTATCAACTTATTTGTTCCCATGTTGATTGCCTTCAAGGTCAATGTAGGTGCTGAGCAGAGAAGCAGTCTAAACTTTGGTTTTAGATCACACCCTCTATTCTGTTCAAATGACATTTTCAAGATAACTGATTTAAATTTAAATATTTCAAACTACATTTTGTCATTTAAAAATAAACTTCTTACCTCTTTTTCCTTTCTGTCTATGGCATCTCGCTCAGCCTGCAATTGTACTTCTAGAGACAATTCTGCTTTAGCTTCTACAGCTCCAAACTGTTTTTGGTCCTCTACCTTTAAACATATAAGAATTTTCTCAAAATTTGAGACATTAAATCTTGATTATACCTTTTTTGGGAAGAAGTAGCAATTCTGTTTCTCCAATTAGAAAATCTACATTAGTGAATAATCAAAAAATTACAGATACTTAGTTCTGAATGTATTTTTCATAAATTCAAACAGGAATCCCCTATCTACACCCTTCCCAAGTTTCCTTATCCTGCTCTTCTTTTATTCATTTTTGCTCTCTAGTGTACAATGGGGATGGATTTCATTCCTGCTTAGTTTAGGGTAAAGCATCAGCCTAAACTGCCGTCCATTATTCAATTAGCTATTAGTGATGGTTAAAAGGGTAATTAATTCTTCTGGTTCAACTAATCTTCCTTTCTCAGGACTAAGATATGCAAGCAACATTTGGAAATACAAATAAACAGAAATGGTTATGATGTCAACAGAGACATAAACATATACATATTATGTAATAATATCAACAAGAAGTCAACAATTTTTTATTTAAAAGAACTGATGTTTTTAAGAGTAATCTTCATTAAAACACTTAATAAAGTTAGCCTGAATAAAATGTCACACCTTTTGAAAAGTGTCTGCACTAAGGAGTAAGGCTTGCTCCAGTTCCCGTACTCTGAACTCTAGTTTCTCAATTTCCTCATTTCGCTCTTGTATATCCCTTTGAAGCTGCTCTTTAGAGAGCAAAAGCTCACTGCACTTGTCTGTTTTCTCTTTCAGATGATTTGTTAACTGTTCAACCTGAAATATAAGAAGCAAAAATTACAATTAGAAAAATTTCAGCAAGCTCGTAACTATAGGTTGAGTATCTCTAATTTCAGATCTCTGAAATGTGAAATGCTCCAAAATGAAGCTTTTTAATTTTAGAGACGAGGTCTTGCTGTATGTTGCCCAGGCTGGAGTACAGTGGCTATCCACAAGCTATTTACATGGAGCACAGTTTGGCTATTCATAGTTGCTGTCAGAGTGCACTATAGCCTCAAACTCCTGGGATCAAGTGATCCTCTTGCCTCAGCCTCCCAAGCAGCTGGGGTTACAGGTGCATGTGCCACCATTTCTGGCTCAAAATCTGAAACTGTTTGAGTGCTGACATGATGCTCAAAGGAAATGCTCATTGGAGCATTTTGGATTTCAGATTAGGGATGCTGAACTAGTAAGTATAATGCAAATGTTAATACTACAAAATCTGAAACCTGAAACACTTCTGGTCCCAAGCATTCCAAATAAGGGATACTCAACCTGTATAAAATATATCTATCATTTCAAAAGGTATTTTTTTTCAGAAAGTATTTTTAAATGCTATCCTAATTTAATTTTTTATAAGGATAGCAACTATTGTCTACAACAAAGGTGACATTTTCCAAGTTGATAAAACTAAGTGACGCCAGTAAAAAAAAAATAATATTGTTGTCACCAATCCTTAAAAAAAGTTCTCTCTTGGGCCAGGTGTGGTGGCTCATGCCTGTAATCCTAGCACTTTGGGAGGCCGAGGTGGGAGGATCTTTGAGCCCGTAAGTTCGAGGTTGCAGTGAGCTATGATGAGGCCACTGCACTCCAGCCTGACAACAGAACAAGACCTTGTCTCAAAAAATAACAGCAACAACAAAAACAATTTTTAGGGTTAATGACTTTCTCACATTTAAGTGACATTTAATTTTCTGATTTTGAGGATTTATGTATGATAAAAATAACTCAATTTTAAGTTTTTCATGATATGCATCTTATTTTACACT